CACTTTAGTAGTGCCTTTCTGGGTCAAGCAAGACACATCTTTAGCACATTACTGATAACAATTACAGAAAAAAGAAGAAAAAAGTTCAACTCCCAGCCATCTAGATTGCACACTCACACCAATGGACTGAAATAGTCAAATGGCTAAAAGAGGAACTAATTGTAAGTCCATGGGGTGGTGGAACTCTTAATAGGGAAAAGCTTACTGCTTTCAAGCTCGAAAATCTTAATCTTTTGTATTTACTGCAAAAGTTACACACCTACGTAATAATTTAAACAAAGATACAACGCAAAATAGTAAAATCATTCACTACTGTCCTCTTCCATTCTCTTTCAGGGAACCTTCGGCCTAAAAGTGTTTAGAGTTAAAACTCCAAGTACCAAGTACAAACCCTTGTCTTTGACTAAAATCACAACCAAAGACATATTATATCCTGTATATTATCTAGTAAGATGTTCGGTAGTGCTACATCATATCACACGCATCTGAACAGAACCTACAGTTTGTAGCTTCTGCATTATTTCCAAACTCAACATAATTATATACTGACACGAGCTTCCTGACGTGTGCCCAAACAATGCCCTACCAAGTCCCAAGAAAGTAGGATTAACTCTATAATGTGAATAACTAACTCAAGGGAAAAAAAAAAAACACCGCCACTATCTATCATATCTTTTGAACAAAAGCCTGAGAAAATAAGTCGGTACTCCAATAACTCATACCAGAACTTCCCGGTAGATGCAATAACTTGCAAAGTCTGCAAAACTTCTTCCCTCGAAACATCTTGTTTTTGCTCAGCCTCTCTACTGAACCAAAAATCGTTGAATTAGGTATAGCAGTGATTTCGCAAAAAGGAGAGTGTGAAATTGCAATCACCTGTGGTTCGACGCGTCATCATTGTGGACTTCATTTGAAGAAACCGGTGGCTGATGTAAAATCTCATGTGGTTGCGTCTCCATGAAATGAAACTGGAATAAATCGCGAAAATTAACAACTCCCTCGCCGAAAATTGAAACAGCGGCAGTGCACTGGAATTGGATACGGTGGAGATAAAGATACATACCTATAATATTAGTTGGACTGGATTGGAAAAAGTGAAGCGGCGTGGTGACGAGAGGTTTCAGAAGATTGTTTTCGTTAGCAGCCTCCGTCGCCGTCAGCGGAGGAACTGCGTCGAGGTGTTGTATGCGTTCGTTGGGCTCTGCCTACTTGTATTGGTCCAATGGACTCTCAACGTCCTGGGCCTTTCTTATAACATCTCAACGCAGCTATTCACACATCCTTGCTTCTTCTCGTCGCTCTCTCTTTTGTTTTCTTCATTTTCCTAAATTACCCCTTTTCTCTTATATTCTCTGCTGATAAAAAAAATGTTGTGAATTTTTTTAATTAATTAAGTCAACTGAGATGAAAAAGGTTAGAATTAATTTTTTTAAATTTATTAATAAATTATCTGTATTAAATTGATTCACTAAATCACAACACGAATGAATCAGATTAGATCAAATAATCTTTTGACAGCTCCATTTTTCCATATTTTCTATCGCTTTCTTTATAACATATATTAAAAAAATTTAATATACATTAAAACATTAAAATCAATATAAAAGACACCACACATTCCATCAACTAATTACTTGCACACTTTTTTTTTACAGAGAACTTACACATGTATATTTAAATTAAATAATTTTTTAACAATTACACATGTATTTTTTATTTGTTTTATTTTCAACCAAAAAATTATATTTCACACATTTATACTTTCTTTATATTAATTATTATTCATTTATTTCGCTTTTTTTTTCTTTTATTTATGTTTATTTTTCTACCAAAACACATCATAAGTGGTTATAATAAAATAAAATAACGTAACTTTAATCTCAATACTTGTAAAATTCATTTTCAATTTAACAACCATCTTAAAAATATTAGCAATGCAGCGAGTCATTATTGTAAAAAAAAAAACTAAAATGTTTTGGACAGGTGAAAAGCAAACTCGGGTGTGAAAAAAAAAAGAAAACTACTAATATTTCATGCTTATCAAATACATTTTCAATTTAAAATAAATAAGAAATTGACTTTTAAATCTATATAATTTATTTTTAACATTTCAAGTATAAAATAAATTGATTTTAATTCATAAATGTTTAGACAAAACCTTACAATATTCTATTAAATTTTATGGAACTGCTTATTAATAAAATATATTTTAACAATCAATTCAACAGTGAATGTTATTTTATGATTACATTATATGACATTAGAGACTAAATTAGCAATGCCTTCAGAAGAAGGAGATAAACAAATATTTATTATTAATTTCTTCGAGAAAATACTAATTAATTAAGAAAACATAAAATCCTAACCTGTGAATTTTCGAACCAAAAACATAAAATATATATTTTACGCAATGCATGGCAGAATAATCTACTCAACTCGTGATTTTTTTCAGGGTGAATTTAGTTTTAAAATAATTATCGAATGGGTTAAAGTCATGTTTCGTGGACACTACTTTATTTTAAAGAAATGATGAAATATATGTATGATTTTTTATGTGACATCCCAAAATATATAACAAAGTATATACGTAGAATGCATCAATTATAATAATAGAAACAGTTAGGAGTACGCAATAGATGGAATTAGGAGTACAGTTATCCAAGTCTGACTGGAAAACTTTAAAATATAAGTACAAGCTCATAATTCTCCAAAATACAGATCATGCTAAAATGAAGGCTAGAAGTTTTTCAAAATAAAAAGCTATTGAACATCATAGCTAGAAGAAATCCTAAGCACTAGGAGCTGGGTCTTCCTCATTCTCCAACGCTTGCTCCAAGGGTACATCATCACCTACTGCTCACATCCAAAGGATTGGATGATCATCGCAAGAGGGAAATCAAACACATGCAACACACACAAATGCAAGGGTGAGCTAGATCTCAAACAATCATACAATTCATTTTCAACCAATCTAGCATTTACCAGAATATCCATACACATAAGTCATCATAAACATAAGCATTTATTTAATAACACTCATCAAGACAAGTATCCTATCATGTTAAGACTCTAGACACGTCCGGACATAGAATGTATGTAGAGCTGGGGCGGGTTGTGCACTTGTGATGGCCTCTACTGCTTTGCAAAGCCATTGCCGAGGGGTTCCACCCGACCATACACAAGGCTAATCCGTTACCGCGGAATAGACCTCCAGTGATAGCGTCTACCCTAGGACACAATATTCTCCACTTACTCCCACCACACGCGTCGAGCTCCTAAGTGAGAATGAAGACCGTTGGAGTGTGTTAGGGTAACCCCCCATATGGAAGCCTCTTACATTCATTCAATACACTAACTGATCTCACCGAGAGATCTAAATTTCCGATTTAATCCGCCATTTTAAATCTCATAATATTCCTTTGAATCAACAATGTACATCATAAACCACTTATAATCATACACTTTCAACCAATCTGGATCACATGAAGATGCATTCATAATTGTAACCGAATATTTAATTAACAAAGCTTACTGGAATGAGAGAAAACACAAAAGACATATCCTGGACGAACCTGTTTGGACAACATCATATTCGTTCCAAAAGCCCCTTGTCGGACACTGTTTGGACGAACGTCCTAACACACATTGGACGAACTACTTGGACGAGGCGCCCAAAAGTCCTTGGACTTGGAACGGACTGCTTCTTTTTGGACGAACGTCCTAACCGCTTGGACGAACTGCTTGGACGAGCGCCCAAAAGTCCTTGGACGGACCTGTTGGACGAACGTCCTAACATCTTGGACGATCCCTATTTGGACGAACGCCAAAAGCACTTGGACGAACCCAATTTGGACGAACGCTGTTATAACCTAGGACGAACGCTTCAATATCAATCGCCTCATCATGACCGAACGCTAACTGATTACTAACACCGGCTCAAGGACGAAGCTAATCCCCCAACATTTGACCGAACGTCTCCAGACATGTTGACTAACGTCTAATCCACCAATCTCTTTGACCGAACGTCCCCAGACAAGGACGAACGCTAATCACTCCAACCTTTGACCGAACGTCCCCAGACAAGGACGAACGCTAATCACTAACACATTCCCATGGACGAACGCTATTACTATCATCTCCTAAGACCGAACGTTCATCCAACCAACATTTGACCGAACGTCACTCAGCACATGCATGGCCGAGCGTTCAGCTCCGCCATGGACGAACGCTCAGTTTGCGCGTTCTGCAGAATTTAATTCTGCAGAATTCTCAGAACTCTGCAGAATGGTAACAGAACCTCCCTTAACCATTTCTAACCACTTTTCCCAACTTCTTAGACTCTTAATTCTCATTTTAGACTTAATTAAACTTATCCAAATGATTCTAAACATTTCTACCACCATTTTTAAGTGATTAAAGTTCACTTTCAGCATCCAAAACACTAATTTCAACAACTTAGGGACCCAAATTCGATTCCACTACTTGGAACCTGTTTTCAACTACTGTTATGCTTCTAACAAGTCACAATGGACTTGTCTAGGCTGCCCAAACAGTCCAGGAACACTGCAGCCTTCATTTACTCAAAATCCCTACCTCACTTCCTCTAAAATGACCAAAAAGTGACCCTAAGACACTTGATTTTCCTTCCTATCAACACCATAACAAATTTTACACACCAAAACAGTTCCAACATACATAATTCATCACTCAAAATCATCCCAAACAGTTCACATCCATCAATCACCACATTCACGTAGCACTCACACTTTCATACATGCATTTCAAGTTAGCAAAATTCAAAATTATGCTTCCAACAACATACCAATTTGAAAATCATTATGTAATCACGTCATACAGTAAAATCAAAAAGAGAACTAGCTCCCCTTACCTCTAGTGTAGACAACCAAGCTCAAGTAGAAACCCTAGACCACTTGCTTGCACTTTCAAAAGGTTAGAATCACCTATAAATCATCAATTGATGATAGAAAACGAATCTTAGCACCAAATAGAAGCTAGATTATGGAAGAAAACGAAATGGGTTGCATGCACCAAGTTCAATCACATGCTTACAACCCTAGGGCACATGAGAAAGGGGGTTTTCTTACCGGTTCAGATTTGGGAAAATTGACCGACTAAGAGCAACACCCGCTACTTTGTGATCGTTGGGGCAGCACCTAATCAAGATTTTAATGGTTCAGTGTGAAGGATGGAAAGGGAGAAGATGTAGGAGGAGGAGAGAGCTTGCTGGAAGGGGAATGGTTTCTCAGACAAGAGGAATGAGTTAAAACCCACTGTTTCCAAACTAATGTAATTTTATTTTAAAGTACTCAACCTCTCATCCTTTGCCACTTGTCATCCCCTTTTTGCTGACTCAAATCCAAGTCCTTACATTTTACCTTTAAAATAAAGTAATGAAAAAAAAAATACATTTTTCATCATCACATTCCTTTAATGTAAATTAAAGTTGTTAACGTTTAATACGACTTTAGTGTAAGAAATGTTTTAACAGAGTCTCCTAATTCTATGATGACTTTAATGAAATTTACTTTTAGCTAAAGTCACGTAGCCTTACAACGATCTTGAGCTTAATTAACAATTCGTAATCTTCTTCCATTCAATAATTATCCGTAATTTCATAACTAAATTAACTCAGATTTGATAAAAACCTGCAACTTGTACGGTTCACCTATACACATGCACATGTTTATATAAGATTTCAATATTGCATTTTATATGCCCTTGTAATCTTTTCCCTCTTTTCACCATCCAAGGCCACAAGCAGGCTATATTGCATTTTAGTTTAATTCTATAAAAAATATGGTAATAAATAACAATTTGCTTTCAGTAAAAATGCACTTGGGATATAATTAGGATATACTAAAAAGGCACTATTGGTGCATCGGAAATAAAAATTCCAGAAAAAAGAGTTCTTGCAACCAGCAAAATTACAAGAAAAATCTGCCAAGTGACTAAGAACACAGCTATAGAACACCAAACCAAAGGTTTGGTCTTATGCTAAAACATCCGTAAGATTTATTTGGAGAGTGCAAAATTTCAAAGTTCATGTTTTCGCTATGATATTCAGTCATCAATCTGAGCTTCCCCATTTGTCATCTGATTCTGTGGCAGTACCTGCAGTGCAGTTCTTTTCTTATCCACTTCCTGCGCGTGTAACATAAACAGTGAGCACACGTAATCAAATATAAATAG